ATCAATCATTAATCGAAAATCAACTAGGATTTAATCAATAAAACAATGTAGAGGAAAATACCGTGAAAAATCAAATGGATATACAGAGATTTGTCGGATGAAAATTATATATTTTACTATATTTAAAATGTTATTATTAACTCACTTTAATAGGAATCTCACTAGGATGTTGTTGTTTGCTAGGTATCCATCTAATACAACATCGGATAAGATTCGATTCGTGTCCATAGGCTTCCTGACAATCACAACAAAGATACAAGGCAAACGCTAGCATCATTGTGATGATGATAATGATGATGGTGATGATGATCATCACTTCTCGCCAAGTATCTAATTGGTTTCCAAACGACGCATTACATGTCCCTTCTATGGCTGCTGGTTTGAGGCTTGGATAACTAACATAACACCATAGCTGGGATTCGAACCCGCGACCTCCTCCTCCCAGTCTTACACAGTGTCATCACGACTAACCATCTTTGATAGAGCCTCGCCACGGATAGCTAATTCAACCACGAGTGTATCTCCTAAAACATATACACATACATAAGATAGTAAACTATCCTAGAAATCTAAAACATAGACACAGCTTATATATTCCAAGGAATGAAACCGTGGTTATGAACATCATCATCTAGTGTATGGAATTGTGGTTGGTCCAGTTATCAGAGTTCGACTACTAGCCTATGAATCCATTGATCATGACGATGAAGAATCGTGATAGATTATTATCGGTATCACCCATCACTATTCGATAGGAGCATAGGTCATTATGCTCAAAATATGAAGATGAGTTGTTGAGTTCACACGACTGTCGTCGTAGAGAATTATATACTCCTTGGTATACCATAACAAATTGAACTGATCGTCATGATCCTTATGATGATGATGCACTCACCCCCATCAGCAAGAGCTTCCTTAAGACTTTGGTGTGGTTGTATGAACCGTCCCTCTACGGTCTTGACAGCAGTTGGGATCAAGAAGGCGGCGGGACCAGGCGATAGCTCAGCGTATCTTGGCACATTATTACATACCATCTCGCGGGGAACACGACCGAGATTATTTAATACGGGGATATCTAGCATATACAATAATAATTGATTAGATTATTATATCTATTAATAGCTCGTTTATTTCGTACTCGTACTCGTAGACCTGGTCCTCGTTACGTACCTTGTAGCTGCCAATAACCCCAACCAACGAGCATGCTGTAGTCCTTTACCAACTTCAATATCGAACTCTACATCGATCACTCTCACACTTAAACGCATTACCAAATAAATAACTAATGTAAGTTAGAGTCGACTATACCAACTACTACCCTTACTGGCCCCTCCCAAGACATCTGTCAAGACTAGTATAAGACCTGGTCTAGAGAGCATCAAGTCGAGTATGATGATTAATCACGATCACAACAACTCAACATACACGAGTTATTACAAATACTTGAATAGTAACATATACAGTAGGGCTATAGACGATACCTATGATGATGATGATGATGATGTATGCATCGTAAGCGTAAAGAGCATCATCATCATCATAATCTGTATTAACTGATTTCATTATGATAATTGTTTCCATCAGGAATTGCATCGTGTCATAACATAGTAGTCATCCCATTGAACGACCAAGTTATAATAAGGTAATCAATCGTCCCTACCATCCCACACCGAACTTTGGTCCGAAGCCAGGGAGAGGAGGTGAGCTAATTTATCAATTTATCCTCACTTGACGAACTAATCTTCTCGAGACGACTTCCAAGAGAACACTGCTCAGTGACTGGCAGTAATACGATCATCCTTCTAACAGGTATTAAGTTATGAAATGAAGCAGTAGAATATGAACATGTTCAATTCATTCAATGACAATGAGTTTAATCAATACGACACTGAATAGATGATTGCGATGTTTGCGGGGAGCGGTATCATCGATTGAACATCATAATCATCAAACACGGTACATGAGTTATCTGGTATAATTGGAGTAGAGATGAGGGGAGGACACCCGATGTCTACACCACTTGTAATAAATGATTGACAATACCTTCATACCATATACATTGTAATTAACAAGAACCGTAAGATTGGATTATCTCCCTATGATACGGTTTCATATCCGAATAGCATAACGATATGTCGGCATCTTGGAGAGGTAGTAGTTCTCGAGAGTCCCCTTGTGAACGGAGCTGTAGGAGAATTATGACACTTCTAACAAAACAGAGTATTTGAGGAAATATAAAAATGTCCTCCTTTCCCATTAGTTCATTCGAGCATACGCCTTATATTCATTCATATCAATCAAGCCGTCCTCGTTCTTATCGGCTTCACTATAAAACCTAACGTGATCGGGATCGAACCAGATACCTTTTGATTACCCTACACTTACTTGAACAAATCCGCCTGGTCCATATAGCCTTTATATATAGCCCTCACTTCTTGTGGATCGATACCTCCATCATTATTGGTATCAAATCTTCTGAATTCCTCCTCGAGTTGCTCAGGTTCACGA